GGCTTGAACAGCATTATTGTAATAAAGTAAATGATTTGTGTTTAATAAATTGCTGATTAATATTACATGAATAAATTGTAGTTATTAGCAAAAAAACTTATTCTAAGTTTACATACTAGATTGCATTGGATGATAATTTTAAGGTTCTCATGATCATCAATCATATTTTAACTGTCTTTTAGTCGGATGTAATGTTTGATGGGCGTCATTTGGTTGTGAACGGCCCCATAGGATGTTGCGTTATTAGAATCTTATTTAATAAACAATATCAACCCTTTTTTCAAGTATCCGACTATTTTTGACTTCAATATAAAAACTAAAAAGACACAGCAATGTGTAAATTTCCATAAAAATCGGAAGTATTCCAAATATTGCTAAAATTCCACTCGCAAGGCCCAAGAAGAATGGTAAAATTATTGACACAATAATAGAAAATATTTTTGAAACCAACATTAATATCATCTTGGAATGATCGTACTGAAAAGTAAGAAAGATTACTTTATTTCCAAAAATAGCATTCAGCATATTGACTCACGTTGTTGATTCCATTCAGAAAAACAATTCCAGAAAGTAATGTAAAAATTGCATACAGCAATAATATCACTTGAAGAATCAGGAATTCTACAAAAAAGGTAGTTCAATTAATTTTCTGCTGAGTCATAACAATTAGAGTACCTACTTGATTGAAATATAATGGGAATTTCACTTGAACTTGAAATACGATAGTATACGCTGACACAAAGCAAAACAATTGAGATGATAATGCCGATTATTCCCATTACTATATTACCATAAGCAGCATTTAATGCTCCTTTCCGAAGACTACAACAGAAGCAGAAATTCCTAAAAATTGGTTCCCGCATTTTGATCAACATTGTCGTCACTATAAAAAATATTTCAAACTGTAAGTCTATTTTTTCGTCACATCTGTTTAACGATATTATCCAGACTGTACTGTTTTTATTCGTTCTATTTGCATTCCGTTGTCTGCTTGCGCTGAACTACTGAATAATACTATCATAAAAATAATAACTGTGTCTCTTACAATTTTTAATTTGTGTTATGACAAAATGATAAGATAAATTTATTGTCATTGCACTAAGATGTTTTCTGAAAAATATACAAGATAATTTTGCTCAGTTTGTGATTCATTTCTTGAGGTGTCTACGTAATTTCGATAAAATAAATATTATATTGCAGCAACATATTTTGTTGAAATTTCAAATATGAGTCTTTTGTCAGTGGTGTTCAAACTATGGTCCGCGACACACAAGTGCTAGTTGCACTATTTTAAAACTATAGACAAATATTAAAATTTTGCAGTAGAATTGAGAGTTTAGTGCAGTGGTTCTCAAACTTTGTGACACGGCACATTAGCTTTATGAAATTTTGAACACCATTGACTCTAGGGTGACTTTACAGGCAGTTGGTTTTGACTAAAACAATCTAATTTTAGCGTCATTATTTTTAAGATTATTCTGGCGAATTTCGATTCCGGCTTGGGATGATATTTGCATATAACAAGGAAAAATCTTGTTGAAATTTAAAGTTGTTTCATTTAGTAACCCAAAGAGGTTGGTTTTAAGGCTATTAAAGGTCAATAGGACCAATTTTTTTTTTATATCAATCGTCTTTAGATAATTACTTAAAAAAATAATTTCTTTAATTTCACACCTCGCATCTGTCAAGCTATTGCAAAAAACATTCCCTAGTTCCGCTTCTGCAATATTAAATATGTGATAAAACAGATAAAACACTTGAAAATATAGTTCAAACCGGTAATGACTGAACAATTGACTAATTTTGAAGGCTTAATCTTTTACTGAACTGCTACTATCAAATGAAAATTACATATAAATAGATAGTATGGGAAGTTGATTCAATGACAAATGAGAATTAACAACAAATCTATATAAAAACGGTATATAATTACCTACAATAATTTTACACCCACTCAGAATGTTGTAATATTTTAAAAACTAACAATCAAAACGCTTCTAAACCAACAGTTCCATATAAAAACATAAATCATTTGATTTTTGACTCCATAAATCATAAACTGAAAACTTTTTTACATCATAAAGAAGCAGCTATCACGTTAATCCATTCAGCATATCCACGAGACATTTTATGACTTCTATAAAATTCAAATAATCGTCATAAATGCATTATTATCTTTGTATGAATTTAAAAATTTCATTCATGCTGTTTAATAGTGCTTTTAAAATTGTTATTATATAATCCCACGTAATGCGATCACATTGAAAATGAAGAAGCTTAACCTTCACACGATTTCTTTCTCTTTCACTTTCAAGGTCGTTCGTGTTTGTATTGAGATGCTTTGCATGCTTATTTACTTTTTGTTTGAAGTATGAGAAGAAAGAGAAGAAAGCTAGAGAAATGGAAACTTAGTCTGTGAATATTTTCAAAGACGTAAACTGTTCCTAAAGCTTGAATGTTTTGCTGATTAATTTCTTCTTTTCGGTTACCTCAAAAAACTTCATCAAGATCAGCCAAACTTGTTCATGACACTGAATCTTTTTAATGTCAATCGGAAATTAGATGTATTTTTTCACTAAAATGTGAGGACTATTGTCTTAGCACTGACATAATTAATTGCAACATTTACCACATGACGATGCAATTAAGTTGTTTGTGAATGGACTGAAGGAAGTTGTTTTGATGCAAATCTTGAGATTGATGGAGAAAAAAAAATGCGTTATGCTGTGAATGATCATTTAAACAATCAAGCTATACCACAAGCACTTGATCTTAACGAGGATTTTTCCGAAATTTATCAAGCTCAAAATGGTTGCCAAAAAAATCATTGCTTCTTGATAAATAGCTAAATTCCTTGCAAAAACAAATTCGCATGTCAAGGAAGACCAAAAAGAAAGGAAGCAATTACAATCATCACCACAAAAAATTGACTTCTTGTTACTAAAACTCTAAATTGAGCCTCATTACTCCTTGCCAATATCATTGCCGTTACTATATAGTAAATAAATTGTACAATAAATACCGCAAAATTCCGACATATATTCCACCTTTGGATAAGTCTAATATTTTATTTCTCCATATGACGTCAAACGGAATACAATTTATAAGACCTGCAGCTTTACATTGAGGTTTCTTTTCATGAAAAACAAATTGAAGGGTTTTGAAATAATTTTTAAAGATTATTAAATTAATCATTTCTCGGTGCGATTCAATTGGATATTATTTTAATTAAATTCCTCATTTTGCCAATCCTATTCATCTCCCATTGACATAATTATTAACAATTTTAAAAGGAGGTAGCTAGTCTGTGTTTTTTGCGAATCATCAAATCTGACATTTTTGCAATTCTTCTCCATTAAAATTCTACAAACTTAATTATCTCTAAAATGTTGCGCTAAACAAAGACCATCCATCAGCACATTGATTGCCGTCCATGCAATATTGCAATAAACTTTAAGCCTACATGACATTCGGGACTGAATTTATATTTTTTAAAACATTTTAAATATTTCGCAATAAACCAGTGGATTTTAAACTGTGTGTCGCGGCACCCTCAAAAAATTAATCCTTTATTTTCATGTTTTGTGACTTCGAAAAGGTCATCAAAATCATTTAGTGCACCACGAATCTATTCGGGTGTGCTGCAAAAGTTTTTATGTTTGTCCAAAAAAGTTTGAGAAACACTGCAAAAAAACAATCAAAATTCTTTTACAGAAAAAATAATTGTTAAAATTAGTTTCAAGCATTAATAGTCAAGGGATTGTAACAGTGTAGACTTTGGGGTTGACAACAGCCTGTTCTAGAGATCTGAACCTTTTGTAGATGCTAACTAAGGTTTTCGATTCCAGTGCTTTATTTGAACATTCTCAAGACTCTCTTGTTACAACTTAAAACTATATCAAAACATCTTCAATATGTTCCCCTTAAAAAATTTCCATCCCTAGATTCCAACCGATAAAAATGTTAAAATTCCATCTTAATTGCCGAAACATTAGCATCTTAGTCTACACGCAACAATAGCAAAGGTGTTGACGATGATTAACTTCCATTCACTTTGTTTCATATTTTTTTGTTTGATTGGAACAGGTCAAGTTTATGCATGCATGATTTATGATGATGTTATCGTTTGATTCATTGTATTTACATATGAGATTGAAATAAATTAGATTTATGATTGTTATTACACATTTTTTGGTGCTTCAACTGCGTCTTCAATGGAAATTGAGTCATTAATAGTCAATGTGCGTTTCAATAGATGTAGATTGATATTTAATGAATTAATAAGCATTTAGAAAAAATTGAAAAATTAATAAGTTTTTACAAATTTGTAGCTATTTAATTTGTTTTCTTGATGCTTCGATTTATGGTGCTATAGATGTGGATTTTTGTATTTTACTTTGAACAGATGTTTTGTAAGTGTATGTATGTATAGATGGTGATTCTTAGATGTTTTTGTGGTGATTCTTAGATTTTTGCTTAGTAACTTGTTCTTAGCTATCAAGTTAGATCTATTGGTAAATTTGAACTAATTTTAAACCCCTGACTAAGGTCTTTCTCTTACCTTATCTATTAATTAGAGTCAGTGTCAGTCAAAAGTATATAATACACTTTCTATCCTCACACATAACTTATAAGTCCTTCTTTTCATCCATAACTCACAATAGGATGTAAATATTATGTAATCGTGCAAAATTTCAATCGTATTAATTCCAAATGTTAAGTATGTCCAACAATTGAGAAAAAATAATAATAATCATGATTAAAGTTATAAACAGCAGCAAACAAAAGTAACAGTAATAAGCTGTGATAATAACTTTATGATGCATCATTAAGTAATAACAAGATCGTCGTTAATTCGCTATGGAATCCTCGTAATCCATCCTTCACATTTCATCACTTCGCAAATGCAATTTCAAACTTTTTTTATAATCAAGTTCAATTTTTCATTAAAATAATTTATCATGCTTTACTAATTCCGAATACATAATCTCTCTCGACAGGCGGTTGGAACATATTCGAGCAATCAAGTTCAAATCATCAGTGGTCATTATATGATAATCTACCGATTGTACAGGTGAATTTTGGCGTACATCCATTTTTCAAAGTGTCGATTGAGGATGGAAACATCACGTTATCGGAAGGTGAATTGGGATTGCCTGATGAGCAGTTGTACTTCTTACATCGAGATCATCCAGTAAGTAGTTTATCGTGAATACCTTATTTGCTGGTTTATGGCTTTGACTCAGAGCAGTGATTCTCAAATTTTTTTGGTCGACGGCACGTTTTCTTACTTAAAAATTTTTGCGCCACACCTGTAATTATATTATGGCACTCTAGAGTGCCGCGGCACACAGTTTGAGAACCACTGACTTACAGCCTTAGATACTATGGATTTGAGATTGTTCCAAAGACATGGCATAGCTCTTTCCAGGGATTATAACCTAAGGATAATCCAATAATATAGCACGGCCTGATTTTAGCTACTGACAGCACCTAAAAAGTGTGTAGCCAAACCCATTTAATCCTAACTCTTCAATTTCTCATTCCAGATTATTATAGCATACAAAGAGCTCATCCGCGATGTCCACAATAGCCTCAAAGCAAGTACAAATTCGGAAGCTGAAAATTTCGTTGACAATCTTTTCGGTTTTGAGCGTCGCATTGTAAATGCTATGAAAACAGCACGACAAAAGCATTCAGTGACGAAAATTGTGCGACTTTATGACATTAAGACGCGCACCCACTCACTGCCAATCGACATAACGGTACAAAATATGTTTTCAAATTATCGCGTTGATGACGATACGCCGATTAAGGTGATGGACCTTGAACTTATCCATCAAATTTCTGTTGTTGCAACTTCCACGGAGCCGAAAATTTTAAATGATTTTGTGATGTGGACACTGGCTCGACACTTTTTGCCGCTTATGAGTCATAAAATTCGATCGTCAATGGATAACTTCTATAAAAAATTATATGGTAATCAATATAGCAATATGCCATGGCATTTTTGTACTGAATTGACGCATCAGTGGATGAGATTTGGAATTGAAGCATTAAGACAAAATCCACAGCTGATTGTCGTAAGTTTTATATCATATTTTAATTAAATTGCAGTCAAATCATTTGAATTTTTTTTTATTAGGTCGACACAAGCAAGATGAAGCGAGATGAGTACGATGAAGAGTCATCATACGAAGAGAATCTATCAAGAGACCAGCTCAATTACAATGATGCATTTGTGCAAGTTTTATTCATGCATTTACGTGATACATTCCGCTATGCAATCTCCGATGCATCATGGATAGATCCAAAGTTTGCTGACTATGTAAATTATAGATTATCAAGTATTCGATTACAAATTGGAATTCCGCAGAGAATTCTCAAGGATCATAACTACATCCAGCAATACTATCGAGAATTTATCATCAATGAAATTAATTTTATGAGAAATATTGAGCAGCATTGGAATATTGAGAAGAAGATTTTAGGGAATCTACTTAAAGGTGACATGACTGAGGAAGACAGAATTGTTTTCGAGATGTTCTCATCATCAAGGCACGACGATAATAGAAGAATTAAATACTTAAAAGATCTCAATATGGTTATTGTTGATCGAGCTGTACTTCGTGAGCCATATTATCATTATAAATATCCATTGCCTGTTAATTTTGCTCGCTTGGGAACTGATCTAGCCAGTATTTTACTAGAGGCTGCATTTGAGATTGGCGAAGCTTACAAAGAACTTCTTTTCCATGAGAATCAATTTAATGCTGAAGAGAAGGACATCCTACATAAAAATACACTAGAAGGGGAGTCGCTTAAATGCATCAACAAGTAAGACTGTCTTTAATTAATTCCAAAACCTCAAAACTAATCAGTTTTACTTCCATTTCCCACAGCTTATACAACATCGACAACAAAACCTTCACAACTCCTGGAGCAATACGCAAAGGACTTTTCTCAACAATGACATCCTCATCTATGGCATATCGAGCTTTGATTTCATTTACAAAGAAGACAGAAGATAATCCAGCACATTTTGATGCACGCTTAATCAAGGAATTGAACATAAACAAACGACAAAATGGATTAATGAAGTACACTCAAGAGGAGCTTTTCAGCTTAACATTTATGCAAAAGCACTGTTCTGTTGTTAGTGATGAATATAAAAATATTAAAGTATTTACGGAACGAAAAATGCCAGAACGACAAATGTAAGTAGCATTAAAAATGACAATTTTACGATTATTGTGTGACAATAAAAAAATAATATTTTATTTTTATGATTTTGTCAACAGGTTCGATATCATATGGAAGAATGTTCCAATAATCTCAGAATCATTTGAATGCTCAACAGATGCTAAAATGTGCAGCAACATTCTATAAGACGAAATTGATCATCATAACATTTCATCGATAAGCATGTCATCTTCATATTAAATTAGTTATCTGATATATCAGTATCATTTTCATGGAAATATTTTATTTTTATTTGGGAGCTTTTCATTTGTAGTTTTTGAAAGAAGCTCTTTGCGATTCTTAAGTTTTGGTTCTGATAATGTGGTCAGGATAAATTGGAATGAATTGTATTAGCTACTATAATTCTGCTCGGAGCAAGGGCGTAGCTTGAAGTGTCTGAACCCCCCTAAAAACATTGAGCCGAGCTCTCACTGCGGTTCAAAACTCCAGACCTTACTGGCTACTCTCCTGGCTCGACAAGAATTTTTAAATTGAAGCTAAGATTAAATGACTCAGTATTTTCAAAGATGCGGAACTGATTAATCCCATTTTGATAATTTTTTAGCAATTTTGATCATTTTGATCAGTTTTGTACCTTTGGACATTTCCCTACAATAATTTGCTGTTTGTTATTGCTGGTTAATATGATTCGTTGTTTAAAGTTTCCGATGTTTGATTAAGTATCTCACTTAATATTCTTAAACGATGGTTTACTTAAAGTAAGTAATAATGTGTAGGTTGAGTTGAGATATGGATACCTTGGGCTCTTCAGAATATTGATCTAAGAGACTTAAAGATTTTAAGAATCAATGTTAAGAGTAGCTTTTTAAATTTATGGATAGAATCCTGATGCAGGCTTAGTTTAGCTAAAAGGCAAACATGATAATTAAAATAAAATCAATCGACGAACTTAAACCATCTTAGCTCAAATCCCGACCACATTCATCCAGAACTTTTACAAAATATAGAAAATTCCGTCATAATTTTTTGCACATCATATTGAATTATTTCTTTAAGTTATTTAAAATTTTATCATTAATTGCATTACTACAACATTTTACGTGATGAAGGACTCAAATCTATAGATGATAAGAAATTTAATAGAAGAGAAATTATAATTGAATAATAAAAGATGTCTATATCTGTCTATTTTTTAGAATCAATTAATTTTTTTGACAGTTTGACAAAAAACAAAAAGGAAGAGAAAGTTAAAGGAATATAAAGTTTTCTATCTTATAAGAGAGGAACGAAACGATGAAAATTATATTAAGATGAAAGAAATTTATTAAATTGTAATACTGTAAGATGCTGTAAAAAGTTAAAGATTTTCTTTTTTGTTTTCAGAAAGAAATATGATGAATAAAGTTTTTAGATTTATTGAATTTTATGAATTTTGTTTTATTTTTGAAGATTTTGAGGTTTTATTTAAATTTTGTTTTACAGGAATAATAGATCTGGATTTAATTAAAGAGTGTTAATTGAATAATGCTGGATAATCTGCTTTCCAAAAGCTGTCACGTTTAATTCTTCTGCAGGTTACAATGCAAGGATTGTTAAAAACTTTACTAAGGTTGGTTTTCCTGATGTTCATGTTCCGGAATTAAATTCTGAAAATCACACGATCCACGCATAACATTATAGTTTCCTGCAAAAACTTATTTTAAAAAATAAAATTTCTGAAATTGAAATTGAAACTTAAAAAAACATTCAAAAAAATTAAAAACACAAGTCAAGATTTTTTTTTCTTTTTTAATTTTTTACAGAAGGAATTTTTTTCGCAGCGAATTTCATATTTTAATGTTTAACGTTTATATAAAACATTTTTATATACTTAACAACGTCATTATATTTATTATTTTTTATGTTAAATTTTTAATAATGTTTCTCCATTTTTTTTCTTCATTTCTGGTTTTTCTTTTGCTGTTATGAATTAAATTTCCCATGTATTTTTTCACTAGCAAAATTTTCTGTTCAGATTTTTTTTCTTGTAAAATTAACTCGCTTTGAAAAGTTTTCTTGCATTTTTAATCAAATATGTCTGTGGGTGTTTTTATTCTCTTGTCATGCGGTTTTTGTTTATTTTGAAATGATAATTAATATTTCACTTTAGAGAGGCTTGTTTGAGCTGGATGTTGAATTTTGGATGACCTTTTAATTAGAAAATATATTATATTTTGATCTTTTGAGAATCATTTTCTAATTGATTGGAAGATAATTCCCTTTCTTACTGATTTTATAATCGAATCTTAATGAATTATATTTGAACTAGGATTGTACAAGTTCTTAGACCTAAATTGAATATAGAACTCTTCGAGTTTGTAATGAATTCTAAGTTTTTAAGCTTCAAATATAGAAATTTTGATCTTTTTACTAGCTTTTTGACTGTATTTAAGATTCATAATCTAAAAGCTCTTCACAATATTCAAATTGCTCAGAAATCAATTTTTTAAAATTTGACCATCATGTTTTCTAAACTTGATGAAATATTTAACAAGCTTTACAAGCTTTAAGTTTTAAAATTTGAAAAACTTTTCTAATATGAAACAATTTTATGAAAAAAACAATATTTCCCATCCAAAATACAATACCCAACTCAATGTGAACCCATGACGATTGATATTTCAATTTGTTTTTATTAAATTTTTCAATAATTTTTTTCATATCTACATTTCGATCCTATAATCATTCTTCATCATTTTCTGTCTTTTCATATGCATTGATTGATTCTTTCTTCATCATTTTTTTTTTCAAATAATTTAAATTTAAATTTAATTATCTTACTTACTTCACCCAAAAATTGGAATTGAAAAAGGAAGTTAGAAGGAAAAAAATTTTATTTTATTTTTTTTTATTATTTTTGTCATTTTTTTATTCATTGTATATAAGCAAGCTCTCTGACTAAAACCATGACGGGAAAGATTTTTTGCATTTTTCATTAATTTTTTTTTTCTAAACTAGAGTTCATTTTTTTGAAATTATCTATCTTACATTGAAGCTTTTCATTTTTTTCTGCCTTTTTCGTTTTAATTATTAATTAAGAATTCATGAACATATCTCATTCATTTATTAATTTTTAATTTACATTTACTGACTCAGTTCGTAACGGCATCTTGAATATAATTTTATTTATCTTTTGAGTATTTTTTAACCTACGGGCTTCCTTTTTTGCTAATTTTTTTATTCTGTCATCGAACATTCATTACTCACATTACAGCGTTATTAATTTATTTAATTTTATTATTCATAATTTGATATCATTTTTGTGTAATGTATTTTCTTTTTCTTCTTTTTATTGGGCATCCATAGAAATTATTATTTTTTCTTTCTTATTTCTTAATTCTCATAAAATAGAGAATTTTCATTTTTTTCGTATATTTTGGCGAAGTTTCTTATTTTTTTTTGTCGATGCAACGACATTATTATAAATACTTTTATGTATTACTTTCATTCATCCTCATTTTCTTTTTGCTGCATATTTTTTTTTATTTTTCTAAACAAATTTTTAACGACATTGTTTCTTTTTTTCAACAAAATTTCTTAAATCGAACAAAATTTTTTAATTTTTCATATTTTTTTAAAGCTCTTTTTGTGTCTAATAAAAAATCAAAACATTTTATTAACGCAACTAATGTTGGCTGATGAGTTTAGGTTCTTGGTGGTGTATCGTGATATTTTGGACTTTTCATACTCATTTCAACATTTTCTAAAAACTTTTTTAAAACCAAAACTTTAAATTTAAATTGTTGAAAAAACTCAAAAATTTCAAAAATTCAATTTATAATATAAAATTAAATATAAAAATTTTAATTTGAATTTAACATTTCGTTTTAAAACATAAACAAATTTTTCAAATTTTAAAATTTTATTACCGAGCTTTTTATAAATTTATAAAACCTATGAAATTTATTTTTTAAAAGATTGAACAATTTCAAATTTGAACTTTTGTTTTAAGCCAAAGTATTTTAGTCCGATTCAATTTATTTATTCTAATTTTTTATCCTTAAATATAAGCTTTAACTTCTCATCAATTTTCAATCCTTCCCAGTTGCATCCCCAAATCAACCAACCCACCAGCCAACACATTATTTTCATTAGCATAACAAAATTTAGATTGATGCTTAAAGACATTAAATGCACATCAATTAAATATGTAAGTAGCATGGTCCAAAAAACTCAATTGATATGTTTTTCCTTTTTAAATCCATTAAACTGGCCGAAAAGTGCAAAAATTTCATTGCCTTTTTTGTATGCTTTAAAATTTCTTTTTCTTCTATTTATTTTTAAATTAAAACTTAATCAAACTTATAAACTTCATCATTTCTAATGGACGGTTGCTTTATAACAATACATATTTTTTAAGAAAAATTAGCTTTGTCGTAATGAAAGAAAAGAAAATTGAATGAAAAAATTTACAGCAGCTTGAATTTTATTTTCTTTTGTAAATAAGTTCATTGTTGTACCTACGGAAGCTGTCAGTGATTCTCATTTACTTTTTGATGGGTGAACTTCTTTCTTCTTGTTGATTTGCTCAAAATCCGATCCGAACTCGATATTTTTTTATTGATTTCATTGAAATTCTTTTGAATTTAACTTCGAGATGTTGTACAGGAGTTTATTGGCTTAGAAGCTGAATAGTCAGCAATTTTTTGAAATATTTTGGGGTACTGGATAGGGTCTGAGTAAGATATTGTTTAAAGTTTGTAGAATATTTTTAAATATTATTTCTTTCTCAATTTGAGCAAAAGTTTGTCAAGGAATAATTTTACTGAAATCACCTTGCAGTTCCACAAAACCCTGAAAGGACCCAATCAAAAGTACCCCAAAAAATTCACAATTTTCACCAATTTTCTTTCATATTTTTTTTCACTTTTTACAAACTTTAAATTTTCACATACAAAAAGGAGATGAGATGAAGAATTTTGGACTCGCTATTATTGAATTTACTTTACATGCATAATAATAATAAACATGTGTCTTTATGTGCTTTATATAAAAACTCTTTTTCCGTTCACTTTTTTCTGCATTATTCATTTCATAATTTTATTATTGTTTTTATCAAATTTCTAGTTTTTAATTTATTTTAATATTTCTTGGTGTTTTTTCTTTCAGAATTTTCATTTTTATTATTTTTTCACTTTAAAAAATTTTTATTTTATTTGCAACTGTTTTTCAGAATTACGCAAAAGTTTTCCACGTTTTTTTTGTAAAATTATTTTTCATGCATTTGGAGGTTAGAAATTAGGAATTTTGTTGACAGAGGGTAGAAGGTTTATTTGAAATTAAGATGTTGCACTTAAGAAAGCAGTGGAAAAATAGACAAATTTAGAAACTAAAAGCACAACACAGGCGTGAAGTTAAAACGATGCCGGTGTCATGCTAGAAAATAAAGAAAAAAAGTTTCTATTCCACTCATCAGCTTTAAATCATCTTTGCATTTTCTTGTTCATTTTTAATAATTTTGGCAGTGTATTTTTAATTCTCATTTCTTTAATCTTTAGGTAGATTTTAATGTAAAATTTTTATGCATTTTTTTTGTCATAAAAGGAAGAATAGAAGATGAAATTAAAAATAAAACTTCTGCTGGATGTGGATGAGTTTTCTAAATTTTTAACTTTTAATGGTTCTCATAGCTTTTGAGACCAAAAAAAGTTGTTTTTATGTAAAGAGACGCTGGACGGTGCAAAAATTATATAAAGCTTTTATTTATTTATTTTACACTTTGTTAAACTCTCATTTTTAATTTTTTTCAAAGTTTATGTATATCATGGATGAGTAATTGAAAAAGACGCTATTAATTCACTTTTTTTGTTACTTTGTTAA